TAAGCCTGTAGAAGTATCAAATTGCTTTTCGACAGAGATGATGTTCATTTAATGAGTACTAATGAATAATAGAAAAGTCTATAATGGTTTGATTTTTCAAACTTTCATTCTTGAGATATCGAAATTTTACTGAATTTTTCAACAACAAGTTGTGATCCCGTGAGGTCACGTGAAAAATCGACTTTTGAGTTTTGACTTCAAACTTTGCTTCAATAAAGTTCTCAATGAAATTAGTTGATCATATAACTAGTATCTCCTTTCTGAAGATGTAAATGGATGAAGAAAATTTGCCTTTACACAAGTGAGAATTTCGAATATTCAATGTTTCAGGATAGGCCATACTAGAAAAGTTACAACTTGCCCAATGAACTAATCGCATTACGAACTTTGTTCGTGTAAAGGTTGGAGTCGACATTCGAAAGCCAGTTTTCCACATGATCTGAGGAGGATTACCGCTCTTTGTTGAAAAACTCAGTAAAACTTCGATATCTCAATAATGAAGGCTCTAAAAACCAAACCATTCTAGTCTTTTCTACTACTTACTATTACTCATCAAATGAACATAGCCTTGATTAAAAAACGATTTACATCAGAAGAGGTTCCGTCGTGAGATGCATGTTTATTGTTGTCACATATAACTGATACAGTTGAAATTTTCAATTCTCCTTCATCGACTTTTTAGTAACGACATCTATTCCATTCAAGCTTTAAAATGAATGCTTCATATTTCTTTTTAATTTTAATTTATTACATTTTGTTTTCTTGTCAACAATAGTTTACTAAATATCTCTTTAATAACTTTACTTGAAAAACATTTTCCATGGCAACCATACTAACAAGTGAATGAACAATGTCTATGCTTTTGAAGTCAATCATATTGATTATAAAATGCCAGCTCCTACGATAAAAATTGCTGTTGTTGGTCCACTTGCTGTAAGAATATGATTTTCTTCTATATTTAAAATATAAATCTTCATATCTTTTTTGGTTTTCTAAAGAGTGGTAAAAGTTCATTTATAAACTTTGCTACCGAAACACGTGAGAGTTTTACGGAAACTTATATTCCAACGGTTCCTGTTCGGTAAACATTAAAATCTTTCTCATTAAATTTTCAATATATTATTATTTTATTAAAGTATTATCGAATATGAAGCACCATCAACAACTCGAGGTAGATCAGAAACTGTGAATGTACAAATTTTTGATTGTAGTGGAGATACTAAGTACGCATATGCAAACAAATAGATGCATTATAACTCAAAGTTTTTTATACATAGATTTGAACATACTTGGCCCGCAATGAGTTATAAACTAAATGGAACAATATTTGTTTACGATCCCGAAGATAAAAAACAAGCTGAAGAACTTAATCTTTGGTATTTAACAAAAAAAAAAAACACGAATATTTCTCTATCGATTCTATTATTTATTCTCTTTTTAGGTATAATAATTTTGTTGAAAAACCAAATCTAACAGAAAAATGTTGCTTACTTGTTGCATCAAGAAAAACTCAAGATGAAGAAGATGGTAGAAGTGGTCATGAAGTAAAATTATGTAAGAGATATTTAGAATTTTTTCTCTATTGAATAATTGCAAAGTTTTCGCTTTTTTTAGCTACTCTCTTTTCTGATATTCCTCGTATTACATTTAATGGTAAAACAGATGAAATCGAAACCATTAAGCAAACATTTGTAGATTTTTTAAAACGAGTTATTGTTGAAATATCACGAGGACAAGAACAAGATGAACGTTTTAAGTAGAAATTTTAATAAAAATACTTATATTGTTAATCTTTTTCTTCTCTTTGTGAAATATAGAAAAAAATTAAATGTTTTATTGTCATTCTAGATAATAATAAAGATGCCTCCAAAAAAGAAAGGCAAAGGTAAAAAGAAAAAAGGTGGTGATGAAAGTGAAATGGAAGTTAAAATTAAACAAAGTCAACATGAAGTTGATGCACTTAAAGATCAAATGGCTTATCGACGTGAATTATCACGTCGTTCTCTTGCTATAGCTGATAATTATCGTGAACAAATGCAAACAACACAATCGAGTTTTGAAGAATTACAAAGTGATATGAAAGCTGTTTCATCTGGTTTAACACAACAATATAAAACAATGCAAATGGAATTAGGTTTCAAAATAACTCAACTTGAAATGGAATTAGGTTCAACAAAAACACGTTTAAATACTACAGATCAAGAATTGACACAACAACGTCTTCAATATGAAAAAATGCAACGAGATAAAGATGCACATATTTCAATGTTAGATGGAAAAATCTCAAATTTAGAAACATCATTTGAAAATTTAATTGATATTGGCTTTAACAATATTCTTACACGATTGAATGAAGAAAAACAAAAATGGGATATTAAAATGGATACAATCTTTGACGAAAATAAACGTTCATTACGAAATCTGAATTTAATTCATCTTGAGGTGTAATAAATCTCATTTTCTAATCATTCATTATTTATTTATATTAGATATTTTTTTTCAAATAATTGGTTTTTTGTGTAGAGACAAACAGACAAGACAACATATAGACAGTCTACATAATACTGATGAATTAAGAAAAAAAAGAATATATAGATAGACAAATAAACAGCTAGACTTCAGGTAGATCATTTAGAAAAAGAAAGGAAATAAAAGCACACGCATGCAAATCGATGCACATATATATTCCCTTGATGTTGTATTTGAATTTTAACGAGGACGAACCGAGCTAGAGCGCATTATTGATGCAGATCGAGTAATGGTTGATTCTCGTATTTCACGCTAAAAAGAACAAATTCATATGGAAAAGAAAGTTCTTGTTTTTTTTCAATTCACTTACACCTGGTGAAACTCGGCTAATACTAACAGTTGAACGGTTCTTAGCACGTAATTTGCCTAATTGATTTTCAGCAAGTTCAGCACGTTCAGCTGAATCCTCTATAAAATAATAAAATAAAATTCTAATAAATTTATTCTATTCATAACATACCGAGTTCAGTTTGAACTTTGCGATATTTAGCCAAATTGAGAGCGGCAATTTCCTCTAGAGAAAAAGATTATTGATTTTCGTATTCGAACAAAAGAAGATACAAAAAATAATTTTAATACAAACCAGCTTCTTCAACTTGTCGTTTGTAAACTTTAATCTTGCTTTGTAATTTTTCTGAAAGATCTTGTAAACGTAATTGATTTTTACGATCTTCTTCAGTTTGAAACGCTAATTCTTTTAATCGGCGATCATTTTTACGTAATTCTTTCAATGTTTCTTGATGACGATGTTGTTCTAATTCGATTTCACTTTCCAATTCATGAATCTAAATTATCAGAATAATATATTTTATTTTATTTTTTTTTTTATATGTCTACATACACGTTGTTCAAGTTTCATTATAATACGTTTTCCACCTTTAAGTGCATTGGCTTCGGCTTCATCAAGACGTGCTTGAAGATCTTTGATTTGTTGTTCAAGACCTTTGCGAAGTCGTTCAACTTGAATTGCATGTTCTTGTTCTTGACGTAATTCTTCAGCAAGGCGAGCAGCATCAGCAGCTAAAAAACAATGTTTTTAAATAGAAATAAAAGATCTCTGTTTTTCTTAAGGATGCACCAATTTTTTGGTCAATGGTCTCAAGAATCATGTTGTTTTTATTATTAAGAATCTATGGTCCTGTCAATAGTTTATAACAGTTGTGCCTAGTTTTTATTTGCTCTATCCAAAGCAATTATTAGATTGTATCGATCATAAAGAAGAGATTCAGAACTAGTCAAAATTTATCAGCTTTAAGATGAAATTCGACCCATTCCGTAAGGTTTTTTTTTGATAGTCAAAGAAATTAAACAATTGTATCAAATAAAAAATTGAAAGCTGATCAAGGTCAATATGAATAATCAGGTGACACGACAATTGTATTTCTGACAGATAAGCTTTGATAGATTATGAACGTGAAAGATTATCATATATACAAAATCTATCAAAAAGAAAAGAATTTCAAAATTAAATAAGGCTCTCTCTCTCGCAATATTTTTTTTCTGAGTATTATATCAAAATTAGCAAACTTATGTTGTAGATGTTAGTCGATTTTTCCATATAGTAGTGTTGCTGTGGATTTTCTCTTCACAGACTACGATATCTACATATGGATACCCACACTCTATCGGATATTAGTGAACCATACACATATAGCTTATTATTGATTTCCGTCAATAATTCCATACGAAAGGCTCAACTGTCGGTGTACCGCGTAATTAACATAAATATGTGGGTGGTCAACACTACTGATGCGTTATTGTTGAGTACAAGTTTCAGGAATAGGTGCATTCATACCCATAGACAATGTATTTTCCATATTCAGAACTACAAGTTTCTGTCACTGATTTATGTCTACAGTGATCAACTTTGAATGCTCTATTTGATACTATTGTTTGATTTCTCTGAAGATTAAAAAAAGCATTACCATTACTGTTGAAGAATTGATGCATCCCTACTATTTTTGTTTCTTTAAGAAAAAACAAATATCTCACCAGCTTTCTTCGAACGTTCTTCGCTATTTTTAAGTTCAGCAACAGCTTCATCCAAATCAGCTTGCATAGCAGCAACAGTTGCTTCAAGTTGTCGTCGTTGTGATGATAAATTAGCATTGTGTGTGCTGATTTCACTAATACGATCAGCTGCTTCATGTAATTCATTTTCAGCTGCTTTACGTGCACGTTCAGCTTGTTCTAAAGCAGTACGTAATTCTTCAAGTTCACCAACGATAAGGTTAGCACGACGTTCAGCAGCAGCAGCGGCTTCTCGAGCTTCATCACGTTGTCGTTGTTCATCTTCAATTTGTGTTTGTAATTCAATAACTGTTACTTGTATTTTCTTAAGTGTTTTTTGTAAATCTGAATTACTACGATTTGCATGATCAAGAGCTACTTCAAGTTCATTTATATCCGATTCAAGTTTCTTTTTCTAGAAGAAAAAACAAACAAACAATGAAAATTTAAAAATTGAATTTAAGATTTAAAATTTTTCATTGTACCTGTTTAAGTGCTTCAGCTTTTGAACGTGTTTCAGCTTCTAAACTAGCTTGCATTGATTCAAGTGCACGTGCATGATTACGACGTGTATTTTCAAATTCTTCTTCTTTTTCATGTATACGACGATCAATTTCTTGACGAACTGTGCTTAATTCCATTTGTACACGAAGAACTTTGGCTTCTTCTTGTTCAAGTGCTGATTCAGCTTCTTCTAAAGCTGCTTGTAATTCTTCTTTTTCTAATTCAGCACGTTTACGAGCTTTATCTAATTCATGAATGCTCTTTCCACCTTCACCTAATTGATCCATAAGATCCTTAAAAGCAAAGAGAATTATATTTTAAGATGAATTAATTTGTTTTATTTTTATTTTTGTTTTGCTCATACTTTAATTTCTTCAGCTAAGTTCTTGTTTTCTTTACGAAGAGCTTCAATTTGTTCATGTGATTCTTCATATTGTGTCTTAAGTTTAAATAATTCAGTTGAATAATGACGTGCTTCTTTTTGTGATGCTTCTAATTCGACTGTAATATCTTCACATTTTTGTCTCCATTCATTAATTAATTTATCAAATTGTTTTTGTTTCTTGTCCATAGCCGAAGCATCTTAATAAAAAAATGTTTCATTTTTTTTGTGAAGTCATTTTTAAAATTAACTTACTAGCATTAGCACGTTCAACATCAACCATAAGATCTTCAACTTCACCTTGTAAACGAGCTTTAACTTTTTCTAATGCATTACATTTGTTCAATGCAGCTTCAACTTGTTCTTCAGCTTCAGTTAATTTAGCAGCTAGTTTACGTTTAGCTTCTTCAAGTTCTTCAGCACGAGCTAAACCTATAATAAAGAATTATTTAAAATATTAGAAATGTTTGATATATATTTTAATGGTGATCAATAAGAAAAGCTTTAATTTTTAATACTCTCAGCGACGAGACATGTTTGAGATCATAAACATTTTTACGATAAAAATTTAAAGATCTCGACTCTTTTCGAAGGTATTGAGTTGGTTTTGTATCAATAGCAGTGAAGAATTCAAAATTGTTTTTTTTTTCGATAAGAAAATCGTTAATGACCACTACTTTCAATTGTTGATGTTCACTTTAATATGGTAGTGTAATATTTTATAGTGAATACTTCTGTCTCTATGCATTACTTTGAATTTTTGAAGAAAGGCGACGTTAAAACCATAAAAATATTCATCAACTATTCTGCATCTCTTTTTTTCCGAATCCGTGAAAGATTATAATAAGCGTTTATAAATGATTTTCTTATATTATGAAAAACCAGCTCAATAATTTCGAGCAGAATGGAAATAATTTAAAAGCTTTTTTCATAAAGATATTTATAACTTATTCTATATATAATTAGCTTTTCTCATAACGAATAACTATGAATGATTTTTAGAATCGACATTTGATTTCGGTAATTACCTTCTGATTCATAACGAGCTCGCCATTGTTGAACTTCAGCATTGAGTTTGGTAACTTGTCGTTGAAATTCAATCTTGCCTTCTTGTTCTTCTTCAAGTTGTTCACGTGTTTGATCAAGATCAGCAGTTAAATTACGTATTTGTGAATCTGAAATAAATTAACAAACAATAAGTGATGAAAATAAGTAATGAAATATATTGATACTTACTAACTGAACCTTTGCCACGTATTTCTTCTTCCAAAGCACGTTTAGCTTCATCAGCTTGTTGTTGTAATGAAACTTTTATTTTTTGTAATGCACTAATTTGATGTTCAAGATCTTCAATTTGTTTAATTAATTCTGAATTTTCACTAGTTAGTTTTATTCTTATACTAGTGATTTCAGTAATTTGCTTCTGACTATCTTCAATTTTAATTTGTACATCACTTAATTGTTGTTCAAGTTGTTTGGAAAGTTTTTCAGCTGCTGCTCTGCCTTTTTGTACATGTTCAACTTGTGCGCGTACATCATCAAGTTCAGATTTGAATGATTGTTTTTCTTTTTCTAATTTATTTTTCAATTTTTGTAATTGATCAATTTGTTCACCCATTTCTAAACGAAGAAAAAAAATTTTTTTTTTCATTCAAAATCAGTTAATTATTAAACCAACGAGGGAACTTCTTCAGATGCCCCTTGCGATTTCAATGATTTCCTTTTTTTCGCCTATAAATACTACAGAATGGGTTATAGCTCTGCTTCAGAGATCCATGAGCACGAACCCTCTTAGAATTTTTTAAAGTCTTATCGAAAACTCTTTATGAACCTAATATGAGTTCAAACAGCTGGTATTATTTCAGGTATTTTCTTACCATTAACAGCATCTTGATGTTTCTTTCGTAATTGTGCAGCTGTTGCTTCATGTTGAAGATTAGCTTCTTCTAAATCACGGCGAAGTTTAGCTAATTCACCTTCACGTTTTTTATTCATTTCAACTTGTGTTGATGTAGCACCTCCA